ATAATAATAATTCAATATAATAATTATTTGCTAGAGCAAAGAATCAATTTTAATAAAGTAACAGGATACAAGGGTAATATACAAAAGGAGAATGTTTTCCTATATAACAACAATGAACAATTGGAACTTAAAATAATTTCTGGGGTAATAAAAGCTTAAGGACCTCCCTACCTGCTTTACCTTTTTTGAACCGAGGACCTCTCACCGGTCTCCCTGCAGAGGAGAGGACTGGCTGCTGGGTTATAGAGCAGCTTCACAATCCTGGCCTGTACATGTGGCCTTGTGAGGTCCAGGAAGCAGCACAGCATACTTCACATATGAAGCAAAGGCATGGTTCCTTGTGCAGATGTCTCATGGGCTTGCTTGCAAGAAAAGTCTCACATCTGACTCTTTGCATTTAACTTCAGGGTTTCAGCACAGAGGATAAGCCCTCTTGTAGGAGCATGGCCACACTCAAGGAAAGACAAAGGCCCTACATGCCAGGGGAATTGGTGGCAGACACGCTGGCAGAGGGCTTAGACATTTGGTCCACACCTCACCCTCCACTGCAGTCTGTGGAGGTCAGAGGCTGTGTGCTTATTGGAAAGTGAGCTGAGCCAAGGGCCATCGCCAGCATATGTGGTTTTCTCTGTCCTCTGGTGGTGGACATAGGTTCTAGGCATCACATGTTGATACTTGGTTTTGAAAGGGCTGAGCAGTACAACTCACTTTTGTTTCCTGATGAATCTCCTCCAAGTACTGAGAAGAAGGTTCTAGAAAACCCTGAAGTCAAGCCTGGCTTAGCGGATGGCATATGACTAGTATAGGTAGTTTCTCCTCTTCCCTGGCCTTTTGCCACTTCTAATCTGATTTCAACCACCCTAAAACTGCAGGGAGGACCAGGAAGCCTTCAGACTCATATTTCAGGCAAGGCAAGGTTGTAAACCTTTGCAGTTGTTGGGTATAGACATCCAAGTCACCTTCATGTTCACTGGAAACAAAGATGAGACCAGGTGAAAAATGGCGGCACTTCCTGTCTGTCTCTGGGCTCATCCTCTTCTTTTATAGGTAAATCAAAGCTCAAAGACTCTGGTATCCATTCATTTTAGGATAGATATTAACTCATCACTGCCCACTGCTGGCCAGACCCTGTTTTAGAAGGCAGAATTTGAACACAAACCTCCTAGTAAGTTTTGATGCTTCCTATTTATCAAACTGCCAAACAATTTCATGAACTCATGTCTTTGTTTTCTTCAAAGTGACCTCTTTTCCATCATCTTAATAGTCAAACTCGATAAAAACGACTCCTTGTACAGAAGAGCAGAGCTTCCCAGAGCAGTCAGTGGTGGCTCTCTGACTGCCAGGCCACCTCCTCCCTGCATAGAGAGCACCCATGGGTGCCCCTGAGATTGTGTCCTTGCCTCTCTGAGGTTGCTGTGCTGGCTTCAGGAAGCTCCACCCTCCTGGTGCTGTTCTCCTCACCCCACTTGAAGGCCTACATTTCTCATGCCAACTACACAGTGGTTGTGGATCATGAGGGAGGGAACCTTGGAGAGAAGATGTTCAGAAAGGTGATGTTTAAACCTCCCACCAGGGACCCAACAAGTTCCTCTTCCAGGTAACTCTGAAGCCCAGTGCTCTTGAGTCCCTTGGGTTAGAATTTGTGCTTGGTTGCACACTCCTGTAATCCCTGCTTCTTGGGAGACTGAGGCAGGAGGATTGTTGGAGCTCAGGAGGCTGAGGACAATCTGTGCAATACAGCAAAACCCAGTCCCTAAAAAATGAAAAATTAAAAAATATGTAAAGAAAATATTGTTGACCATCTTTGCCTCTATAATCCTCCCCTGTCTTACACCCCCTGAGACCAAACATGTCCCCGTGGCCGGCCACCCCCTCTCCCTGCGCAGTCCAGCAGCCGAAAAGTTCTGCAGCATCTTTATGAGGTCATGGTGATGACCCTGGAAAACTGCTAAATGCTTCTCCTATGGAAAATAGTAGCTTGTGCTCAGTGCAGTCCTGTGAGACAGGTTTTTATTTTATTTAAATCTACTGATGAAGAAAGAGGCAGGTAAAGGTTAAGTAAAGAGCTCGGAGTGAAACTAACAGCGGGGATGGGTGAGCACCTGCGCACTGCAGGGCGGAGCTTCCTGGACAGGGCGAGGACTGGGCAGCTCCGCAGTGGGAGGCTGCCTGCCCCTTCCCTTTGCGAGCTCAGGGGGTGTCATCTTCCCAAGGCAAGTCGCAACACAGCTGCAATTTCATCGTATGTTGGAGATCGAATTTGTAGGATGAAAGTTAGAGTCTTCGTGCTCTTCTTAGTAACTTGGGGTAACTCTCCTCAGTCCTTAAGTTGGCACTCATTTTGTTAAATCTGTGGAACTCTAAAATGTGTGTAATAATCCTGACTGCAGTGTTGCAGGAAGGTTAGGACACTGACACAAAAGCCAGGAGCAATCCGTACCTTGTCTGGGTCACCTCTGGCTGTCTGCAGTGTCACCCTGCTCTTTGGGAATTGGCCTGTACAGTTTCCTGTGGTGCGGTTAATACTTACTTTGGAAATTGCATGGATCGTAAGCTACCAAACTCTAAGGTGAGTACTGGTCATTTGCTTAGAGATAGCTCTTTTTTTTTCTGAGAGACCACATTGATGGGTCCTTTTACTTATGAAAGGAATGAAAAGCATTCAAGTATTCTCCACTGACAAGCTCTGGATTCAGAGAGGCGGCCCAGGAGTGGCTGATTCCCGCTGTGACGTGAAGAATTCTGTTCAGCAGTGCAGATGGGGGCCATTAGCAGAGCCACGCTTTTCCTGTCAAGAGTGAAATGAGCATTCGGGAATATAATTGGAATGAGTTAGGCTTTTCACAGTAATTTCCACACAATTGGAAACATCGCATGGGCTAACCATTTATAAAACCAGTAATCTCCCACAAGGGATCAGAGACAGAAAATAGAAGCCCGAGAGAAGGAAGTAAGAGGAGGCCTCATTTCTCCACCTCAGACTGGAACCAAGACCATTAACAGGGAGGGAAGCAGCCTCTGGAGGCAGGCAGGACTGACGGCTGGGGCTCGGGGATGGAGGAGCTGCGCTTGGTCTAGGCCCTGGCAGCTTCTCGGAACGGAGACAGCCAGGACACCAGAGCAGGGAGCCCTTCTGTTGAGCAGCACAGCCTAACGCTGGCCCTGCATGGACAGCACAGGGAGAAGAGTGTCCTTTCCTCAGACAGACACTTGGATGCCAGCAGAGCAGGAAGGGCGGGTGACCACCCTCCTGAGGCCGTGTTACAGCACGGTGGCAGAAAGGCCAGATCGTGTTCCAGGTTAGTTACCAATGTGCTGTTTGCCCGAAGAGGCATCACAAATGACCCAGACAAGGGAAGCAAAGTAAGCCCTGTATGGGATGCGTTTCCCTGGGTAGCAAGTAGATGAAAGTCAACTATGGGTCACGCCCTCACCGAAATCATCCAAAGTTATAGCACAGGTTACAAAGGTCAGTATGCGCCACGCCGTATTCCAGTAGAGAACCTGCGTGGCCTGATATGTGTGGCGCACCAAAGGTCTTGAATACCACTGAGAACAATGTATTGTGAGAACAGTGCAGAATTCAAGGGTGTCAGGGCTGGCAGACTCCATGTGCTTTGTTTAGAGAGATGTGACCAGGTCCTTTGTGTGCAAAAAGTGACAAGAATATTAAGTTGGATGTGAGATACTTAAGTTCCATGTTGGAAAGCATAAAAAATAATTTCTCTAGTTTGGGTGCTTATCTAGCCTGTAATAAAATAAAATTTGCTAAATTTAGATGGATAGACAGTATCTTAGAGATCATTTGGATCAATGGCTGTCAAATCATTTTTCTATTTTAAATCATAAAAGTCCAGAAACAATAGCTGAGATAGTTAAAAGCAAAGCTGTCCACTGACACTGGGGGCCTCTCTGCTTTCCAGTGACCCAAAGGCTCGGTGCTGGCTCCCCAGGCCCTGGATCCAGTGTCTCCACTCAGCCGGGTGTGCTCTCTGCGGCGGAGACCAGGAACACAGGATGCAGTGGAGGATGTGTGCCTCTCACCCCTGTCCTTCTTCATATTCCTTAAAGTGTGGAAGCCAACATGAGTGCTCACCTGAGTTCTCCCCATGTTGAAAACAGCGTTTTCTCTGAGACTTTTTCATATCGTCATTTAATGTTGAAAGCCCTTCATGATTTAGTTGCTCAAATCCTGATGCCTATTTTGTGCATGTGAAACCTCAAACCCTGATTTGTCATTGTGTCACCCCATAAATGTCCAAAGCCAATCCTTCCATACAGCCGGAGAACACAGAGTCTCCAACCCTTAGAACTCGGGGGAGCATCTGGTGCAGCTGGAGGACTCTATTAGCGGGAAGGGACAAGGGACAAGGCCGGCGGCAGGGAATTTGAGAAGGCTTATCTGGACACGAATTAGTGCATTTCAGAATTCGGGATGACGGGGTCAGCGTGCGAGCCCAGTGCAGGCCTCCTGCTTATTTGGGAAGTGCCTGCAACACAGCACAGTGGCTGGTGCCTTCCTGGCCTGCTAACTTTATGTGTGTCTGTGTTTTTGAAAGTGTAAATTTGACATATTCATCCCATGAGGTGACACACTGCCGTGCATGCCCTCTGAACCTCTCTCCTCACTCCGCACACATTTGTCCCATCGTTACCACCGCTTGAGCTGTTCAAATTGCATTTTCTCAGTGCGCGTTTGCACAGCAGGAAGGTTACCTCCGTCCTAGGGGCAGGTGCAGGTCGCACCCAGATTCTTCTCCGTTCCCCTTCCACTCCACACCCAGCCCTCCATCTCTGAATCCCGTTTTCTCTGTTTTCATTTTCTTCTGGTAGTTTACTGCGTACAATGCTTACACCCCTTGTGGAGACCTGCTACGCATATTGGCACCTCTGACACCCCCTTCCCTGCCCCCACCGTCTCCCCTCTTTCTTTTCACCAAATGTTTATTGTGCTTTTTATTTATGCTTTGCCTTATTCAAATGAGAAAAACAACACAGTATTTAAGCTTGTGTGTCTGTTTTATTTCACTTAACACTGTATTTTCCAGGTATATACATTTGCCTACCAATGTCTCAAGTGTATCCTTCTTTAGAGCTGAGTAGTATTCCACTATGTATAGATAGCACATTTTCTTTATCCTTTTTTCTATTATGGACCCACAGGTTGCTTCCACAATTTAGATATTATGAATTGTGGCTGCTATTAACGTTGGAGTGTATACATTACTGCAGTTTGAAGTCTTTAGCTTTTTAGAGAAAATATCCAGAAAGGCAATGACTGGGCCAAATGGAATTTCTATTCTTTTGTTCTTTGAGAAATCTCCATACTGATTTCTATAATGCTTGTACTAATTTATGTCCCATAAGCAATGTAGAAGTGTTCTTTGTTCCCCCACAGCCTCACTGGCATTTATTATTTGATTCCTTGATGAATACTATTTGTTGTAGTGTAAGATGGAATCCTAGTGTTAATTTAATTTGTGTTTCCCTAATGGCCAGAGATGCTGAACATCTTTTCATATATTTATTGGTCCTTTGTACTTCTTTCTTGTGTGAGAAGTGCTTATTCATATTACTTGCTCATTTTTTTGTCTGGAGCTTTAATTTGGGGTGGGTAGTTTTCTGAATTCTTTATATATTATGCAATTAGTCACTGAGGAGCGCCTGACAACAATTTCTCTCCCACTGTGTGGACTGTCTCTTCACTTTATTGGTGTTTCCTTTGCTTTGAAAAACTTTTTAATTTGACACCACCTCATGTTTTATTCTTGCTGTTACTTCTTGTGCAGTTGGAGTTCCAGACCGAAAGTCTTTGCCTATATCTATAGTTTCAAGTTTTATCTTCCAGTCGGCAAGCATCTGTGTGTTAGTGTTTAGATCTTTGAACCGTTTTAATTTTAGTTTAGTAAATGTTGGGTGAAACAGGTTCAGCTTCAGCCCTCCCGTGTAAACAGACAGTCCTCCCGGTACCATTTGTTAGAGACACTGTCTCTGCCCCAGTGTGGTTCTGGCCCTTTGAGCCTGCAGCTCTTTCCACACGCTCTGTTTCCTTCCGCTGGCCCACATGTCTGCTTCTGCGCACACCACTTTTATCAGCGTAACTTTGCAGTCTAACTTGATGCCTCCCCTTTGCCCTGGATCCCATGACTGCTTTGGTTAGTCTGTGTCTCTTCCAGTTGCATACAGATTTCAGGACTGTTTCCCCTACTTCTATGAGAAATGGCACTTTTTATTGTAATTACCTTAAATCATCTGTTTTGATAATATTGCCATTTTGACAATACTGATTCTGCCCACCCAGGAATAGGGTATATATTCCCATTTTCTGACATCCTCTTTGATCATCTTTTTCAGTGTAGTTTTCATTGTAGAGCTCTTTCACTTGCTTGATTAAGTTAATTACTTGATATGTAGATTTTCTTGATGCTATGGTTGGTGGTATCACATTCTTAATATCCTTCTCAGAGAGTTATTTACTAGTGTACATAAATGCTCTTTATTTTTTTGTGCTGATTTTGTATCTGGCTACATTGCTGAGACTGATGTATTCTAGGAATCTTGGTGGAATTCTTCCTGTTTTCTATCTAGAGAATCGTGTCATCTGCAAACCATGATAACTGTCTCCCTTCCTTTCCTAGACATGTCACTTCCTTTTCTATCTCTGGCCTTATTGCTCCGGCTAATGTTTTGAGTACTATGTTTATGAAAAATGGCGAGGGTGGATAGCTTTGTCTTGCTCTTGTGTTTAGAAGGGAGGCTTTCAATCTTTCCCCATTTAGCATATTGGTGGCTCCTGGTTCCTCACAAATGGTTTTCATCAGATTCAGGTAAAGTCCCTCTATCCCTATTTCCTTCAGAGTTCTAATTGTGAAGGGACATTGCAGAGAACATGCATCTCCTGCATCTACTGAAATGGTCTTGTGGTTTTGGTCCTAGCCTCTGTTTATATGGTGCATCACATTTACTGATTTGTGTATTAGGAATCATCTTTGTATCCCTAGTGTCTTAGATACTTTTATCTTGTTGCTGAGACAAAATACCTGACACCTAACAGTAAGGGGAAAAACTATTTAGGTCACAGTTTATGCCTCAGTCCTATTCAGCTCCAAGGTAGGGTGGCACCTGGCAGGGGGGAACCTGTTCATGACAGCAGAATAGAGCAAAAGCGACAACAAAGGAGAAAGACATAAGTCTCTTTCTGTCCCTGGTTTTGTATCCAGTCTACTGGGGTTAGGGTGGTGCCAATCCAGTCAGTGGACTGATCCCATGATCGCCCACCCTTAATCCCAGCACATCACTACAGATCAGTGATACACTTGATTCAGTCACCTCCAAAAACACTATGACTGAATGAGACTTTGGAGGTGCATGTAGACACAAATAACACCTGGGATGAAACCTACTTGGTCATAACATAAGATTATTTTGATGATGGCCTCCAACTTGCAAATACCTTACTGAGGATTTCTGCAACTACATTCACTAAAGACACCAACCTGCACTGCTCTTTTTCAGCTGGGTGGTCTTCCAAATGTATGTGCACAGAACAGTGAGGGAGCTGTGTTCAAAAGCAAATATTGCTGGACATAGAAGACCAAATACACACCAATCCAAGTGGGTGGCCTCAATGCCCCACTCAGCAAATAGCAGATCAACTAAACAAAACGTCAGCAAGGAAGTCTCATAGTTTATCCACAGCCTTCAGAGAATACACTTAATAGATATGTAAGGGTCATTCTACCTACTGTAACGAAATGCACATTCTTCTCAACGGCACACAGAGCTTCCTCTGAAATGGACCACCCACTGGTCCACAAAATCGGCTTAAATAAATACAAAAGAATTGAAATCATGCAGAGAATGTTTACTACAAGACCATTGTACAATGGACCCAGAAAATCAATCACAAAAGAAACTATAGAAAACTTAGAAATATTTGGACATTAGTAACGTAATCCTCAACACCCAGTGGGTCACCGAGGAAATCAGGGAAGAAATTAAACAATTTCTGGAATCAAATGACAATGCCAGTACATTATATCAGAACCTACAGGACATGTGAGAAGCAGTCCTAAAAGGGAAACACGTCACAATCAATGCTCACGCTAGAAAAACAGAGCAAGTTCAGGCAAATAAACTAAGAACAATCTCAAGATACTAAAAAAGTCACAAAAATCTAAGCCTGAAGTGAAATTAAGGAATGAGAGAGGAATCGAAAGATCAGAGAGAAAGTGAATGAAATTGAGCAATAAATATATAAATAAACAATCAAAGAATCAAGGACCTGAAGAGCTGGTTCTTTGAAATAATAAGCAAAATAGATAAACCCTTCGCCAAACTAGTGGAAAGAGAGAAGATTCACATCAATGCAATTACAAATGAAAATGAAATCACAACATGCATGATTGAAATGTGCTACTGCTATGAAGACATGTATGTGTGAATCTTTTACATGAAAGGAGTATCACTACAGAGTAAAGAAGTACCTTTAATACTTGGGAAATGTTTTGTAAATTGTCCAGGCTGGGCTTGAACTCACACTCTTTCTGCTGCAGTCTCCTGAGGTGTTTATGTTACAGTCAGTACCACCTTACCCACCTGGTTTTACTTTTTATTAGGTGTAAAACTGTGTCAAAAAGTTCTCAACAGAATTTTTAAAAGTGCTTATATGCATACTTGTGTCATTAGCAATTGGACTGCTCTTCCTTCCTGTGGTAGCTGTATTTCCATTTAATATAATCTCCCTCCTTCGTGAAGGATTTCTCTCTGTGTTACTTGCAGCACGCACCTGCTGGTCGTGACTCTTCCAGCTCTCACATATCACCATGTTCTGTGTGCCCATGTATCTTCAGTCTCTGTTTGCTTTTTTATTATACGATTGGAGATTTGAACATTTTTCTTCCGGTATACATAAGATGTCCTCCTCTCCACTTTTGTCCTGCTCTTCCCCCGATGAGTGGACCGTCCTGCAGCCATGGGCTCCTTCGTTTTTTGTATGTAATGTCTCTATTTCTCTAGCACCTGGTAGAGTCTTCCTTCCTCTGTGGTTTTAAACCATTGATCCCATGTGCTTTCTAATAATGTCCTTTAGAGTTTCTGTTCTGGGATATCAATTGTATTCTTAAAGAATTTATCATTTTCATTAACTTTTGACTGGGGAACAATTATTTCTTAAGATATATTTTCTGCTTGTGTAGGGACTCCCACCACCATACAATGGTCTGCTGGATGTTCACTGATCTGTGGCTATTTTTCTTTTTCTTTGTTTCATTTTTATTAGTTTCCATTCCATTGTCTTTCAGTTCTTTGTTGACCTCAGATCTACCATCAGTCTCATCCAGTATATTTTACACCTCACACATCTTTGACCTTCAGATGTATACATACACAGATCTTTGTTATATGTTCCCTGAAGCCTCTTAACACTTTGACTACATGTGCTGAAGTTGCAATAATGTCTTTGATATTGTCCCTGTTAATTTAAAAAAATCAAGTCCATTTTGACTCATTTTGATTAATATCGCTCACCTACAGTGAAAGACAAATTACCAGGGATGATGTTGGAAATTTATTTCACTTAGTTTTACAGGCAAGGAGTCTCTCTGGGTAAGGAAGCCCTGCAGAACTGGCTATGTCTTCGTATTTTTATGTCAAGTTTCATGGAGAGTGAACAGGCAGGAACACGTCAGGTAGAAGGAAGGAGGGACAGTCTGTTATCAATGACCTAGGAGAGGCCAGGCTTGTCCGTGTGGACTCTTCCTTCTGTCCCTTCATCTTCAGAAATGGGACGCACCTTCCTCCAGGCACAGAGAGGCTTGTTTCAGGGATGATGAGAGGATGGCTCAGGCTCTGCAACCTTTTAAGAGAAGACGGTCGGGGAATCTCATCTTCTTGTTCCTGCAGTTTTCTCAAATTCCTCCAGCCTAAAACATGTTTGGGCAGTGCATCCTGAATATCATACAAAGCCAAAGAAGGACAGGGTTCCTTAGCTTTTCCCTTCCTTCCAAGACTGCACGCCATTCAGAGGGCCTTCACTTCCGGAGGAACCTGAGTTCCAGCTTGTCTGCCCTGGCAGCCACAGCTCTGCTCATTGATTTCCAGATGGAGATCAAGCCATTCTCAGGTGCCAATCATCGGTACCAGGCAAGGTTCCAAGATGAAGGTCATCCTGGGTTCTCTGCTTTGAGATTCTCTGTTTCTTATTTAAAAAATAATTTTTCTTTTGCTAGTTTTTGAAATTGGTTACATAATGTCTTATTAGCAATAGTTTACTAACAATTCCAGTGAATTATTGGTGGGAGAGTTACTCATTGTTTAATTGTTTCCCCAAAGTGATCCTATGAATATGAGGTCCTGTAATAAAGAAGAAAACTGAAGTTTAGATATATTAAATGACTTAACTGGAATCACACAACATTAAGCAATGTATTACCCACCAATCAAGCAAATGACCTCTTTTGTCTTCACACTTAAGCAATAATCTCTAAATTAAAACTAAGTTAAGGAATAGTATTTTGACATTTAAGGGTTGTCATATATATATATATATATATATATATATATATATATATTACTGGACCTTGAACTCATGACCTTGCACTTGCCAGGCAGGCGCTCACACCACTAAGCTAAATGCCTTACAGTTTTATTTTTAAAAGAATAAAAAAACCAACTTGCATGCATAAACATTGTATTGTCTCAATGTAAGAAACTGAAAGAGTAAATAAAACCCATAAGATACAATAGCTTTTGTTGAAAGGGAAGGAAACTGCTCAAAAGGATTATGGTGTTGGCTGATTTTAAATTTCCTGAAGTAAACATTTTTGGTGTTTAGGTATAGGTTATATTTGGAGTATCAAAGATCTTGGTATTTACTAAACAAATGCTCTCCAAAAGATGGTCCAATTAGTGTTCTGGTACCTTCCTATAATCACCAGTGCTGGGAATTAGTTTATCATTACTGCTAATGCTGGTCATTAATAAGTTCCATTTCCCCATAAAAAGCTTTTGCTCCTAAATTTCAGTAGCTCAAAGATCTATAAGAGGGTGTTTTACTTTCATCTGCTTTCCAGAACACAATGAATCTAAAATTGTGCTGATAAAATCATTATAAAATAAAGTCAGATAGATGCTTTAAATCATTAAATAGTGCAGGAAATAGAACAGAAGTTAACATGAGCAAAAAAGAAAAAAAACCACTTTAGAGTCTTATACAAAATACAAAAAATATATTATCATGCAATTTCAAAACGATTGGAATAAATCAAAGATTATAAAAGTAGAGAGGGGAAGAAATAGTCATTTACATACAAAATGCTTAGAATAAATGGTTACCTTCTAAGTGTCTTTAGATAATTTCTACACATTTCCATAGGCTGCCAAATTATCACTCATATATCTAATAAAATAAAAAATATTTTCAACAGAAAAATATTAAAAGCCTACCCTTAGCAATTTGTTTATGCTTGTGTTCCAGTAAAATCAAATGTAACCTAAGAAATAATAAAGCAAAGACTCTGGGGCATGGGACTTGGTGAGTAAAGAACCAGCAATAAGAGCTTGTTATTTGGAGACAATGCTGATTACCAAGGAAAAATACCAAGTTGTTTTTTTTAGATAAGGTGTGGAGATTAACAAGGTTAAAGTTAGTGTAGCTTTTTTTATTAAACAGCCAGAATAATTTAATGTTTCCATTAATCCACTGATTTTTACATGCATTAAATGAAATACATCTCAAGAATAAACGTTATCTGTTGGATCTGTAATAATTTACTTGGACGCCTTATTTTAAAACCATCTATTCTGAAGAACATTTATTAGTAGACAAGTGTCATAATAATACATAGAAGGAAATGTACATCATTAAAGTCTCTGTAATCTGAATCATAACCAAATTTGTTTGCTATATTTTTGTCAATAAATATTAGTAAAGTCTGTAGAATAAAAGAATATCTTCTCATGTTCTCTGAGACCTCTGGAATTTTACCTTAATATATGTCAGCATTTCTAAATTAATATTGATTTTAGAGCAATGTGCTAGTCATAAATTCATGAAGATACATGACAATTGAAGAGAAATAATACCTGGTGTTAGGTTTTATATCTACATGCACCCAAATCCTCATGAGATCATAGATGGAGCTTTTGTGGGGTGACTAGATGACAGGTGTGGTACTGGGTCATGTGTGTGTGATATGGGATCATGGTGTGTGATGCTGGACCATGGGTGGTGGTACTGGATCACAGGTTTAACACTGGGTCAAGGATATGTGATACTGAATTGACTATGATGCTGGATCATGAGGGTTTATGTTGGATCATGGGTGTTGATACTGGATTTTGAGTGTAATACTGCATCGTGCATGTGTGATACTGTATCACAAGTGTGTAATACAGGCTCAAAGATGTATGATGATGAATAATGGCTGTTCAATGCTAGATCCTGGGCTTGTGATACTGGGTCATAAGTTTGTGTTGGATTATGGGAGCTAATACAAGATCATGGGTGAGAGTTGCTGGATCATGGATGTGACATGAGATCCTGGGAGAGTGATGCTGGATCATGGATGTGATATGAGATCCTGGGAGAGTGATACTGGATCTTGCATGTGATACTGGATCACAGGTGAGTTATACTGGATCATAGATGTGATGTGAGATCCTGTGTGAGTGATGCTGGATCTTGGCTGTGATGTGACATCCTGAGAGAGTGATACATGGATGTGGTGTGAGCTCCTGGGAGAGTGATACTGGATCTTGCATGTGATACTGGATCACAGGTGAGTTATACTGGATCATAGATGTGATGTGAGATCCTGTGTGAGTGATGCTGGATCTTGGATGTGATGTGACATCCTGAGAGAGTGATACATGGATGTGATGTGAGCTCCTGGGAGAGTGATATTGGATCATGAATGTGATGGGAGATCCTCAGAGAGTTATACTGGGTTATGGATGTGATGTGAGATCCCGGGAGAGTTATGCTGAATCATGCATGGGATATGAGATCCTGGGAGAGTGATGCTGGGTCATGAATGTGACATGGGATCCTGAGACACTGATACTGGATCATGGATGTGATGTGAGATCCCGGGAGAGTTATGCTGAATCATGCATGGGATATGAGATCCTGGGAGAGTGATGCTGGGTCATGAATGTGACATGGGATCCTGAGACACTGATACTGGATCATGGATGTGATGTGAGATCCCGGGAGAGTTATGCTGAATCATGCATGGGATATGAGATCCTGGGAGAGTGATGCTGGGTCATGAATGTGACATGGGATCCTGAGACACTGATACTGGATCATGGATGTGATGTGAGAATCTGGGTGAGTTATGCTGGATCATGGATGTGATGTGAGATCCTGGGAGAGTGATACTGGATCATGGATGTGATATGGGATCCTGGGAGAGTGATGAGGGATCATGGATTGATGTGAGATCCTGGGTGAGTGATTCTGGATCATGGATGTGATATGAGATCCGGGGTGAGTGATGCTGGATCATGGATATGATGTGCAATCATGGGAGAGTGATGCTATGTCATGGATGTGATATGGGATCCTGAGAGAGTGATACTAGATCATGGATGTGATGTGAGATCCTGGGTGAATGATGGTGGTTCATGGATGTGATGTGAGATCCTGGGAGAGTCATACTGGATCAAGGATGTGATGTGAGATCCTGGGTGAGTGATGGAGATCATGGATAGCATATGGGATCCTGGGAGAGTGAGGATGGATCATGGATGTGATGTGAGATCCTAGGAGAGTAATACTGGATCATGGATGTGATGTGAGATCCTGGGAGAGTGATACTGGAACATAGATGTGATATGGGATCCTGGGAGAGTGATGCTGGATCAAGGATGTGATGTGGGATCCTGGGAGAATGATACTGGATCATGGATGTTACGTGAGATCCTGGGAATGTGATGCAGGATCATGGATGTGATATGAGATCCTGGGAGAGTGATGCTGGATCATGGATGTGATATGGGATCCTGGGAGAGTGATGCTGGATCACAGATGTTACGTGAGATCCTGGGAATGTGATGCAGGATCATGGATGTGATATGAGATCCTGGGAGAGTGATGCTGGATCATGGATGTGATACTGGACCAGTCCACTGATAGATTCTTATTGCATGTGTGATGCTGGGAGATGAATCCTGGTTGGAAGCAGCGTGTCACACTGTGAGTGTGGTCTGGAGATTTTCCTTCTCCAGTGTTCCTCCTGGCCTCTCTATGACTGCCTGTTTCTCCTCTGTCAGCCCCTTCTGCTATGCCTTCCTGCCCTGCAGCCAATTGTGTATGGGTTAAAACCCCTACTCATGGTGAGCCCAAATAAATGTTTCCTTCTTAGATTTATGGTGTTGGCTTTTGTCACAGCAACAGGAAAGTAACTAAGACAGCTGGGGTCCTGGCAGATGGCAGATGATGGTGAGGACCACAGCAATCTGCATGCATTAGAGTTTGCTTGAGTGAGGTCAGATAAACACTTTCTACTTCTTTTCAAATTCTCTGTCTCTCTCATTGAGTTGCCTTTTTCTTTAGGAGTTAAAATTTGAGATGCCATTGTGATGAGATAGAGACGGTGGCTTCACCTATACTGTGACACAAATTATGGCCCAAAGCTCTGCCTGCCACTGCATTTCTTCTTTCAGGTAGTCCTACCCCAGTTCATATTTTAAAGAGAGAAACAGATACGATCATGAACATCCCTGTTGGGAAGACAAAGACACCTCGGTAACATCACACTATCCCAGTGCAAAGCTTTGTTTATCAGAGTAGGTCAGGCAGAGTCAAGGCTCATTTGCTTTCAAAAGGGAGGGAGCGTGGTTTATTCTGCCACCTGCAAAGGAAGTCTGAGTTGTCCTCCAGGGAAGATTGGCATTGGTAGGGCAGAGGAGAGCAAAAGCCATCTCCTGTATTTCAACTAAAAAACTGATCTGAAAATATAGAGCAGAACATAAACATAAGAAGTGCTTGTTTCGGATTTCCCCTGGCTCTGCTTTGCTCAGGGAGTTGAGGTGTTAAATTTAAAAATACATGAATGGAACAGCAGTAAGTGGAATTGTCTATTTGGAGAAGCAGCACATGGGTTGATTTCTGGAGTTACATCCTGGTTTGAGTTAAATTTCAGCATTCTTGGTTTATTTTTACAGTGTTTCTATGAAAAGGACATGTATGTGAACGTGAAAGGAAAGTATGTGAATATCAGACTGCAAAACCTTCCCGGACAGGATTGTTTAGCAAGTAGTCCCATGCTTTGGTGAAGTCAGCTCAGCAGGACATCAGACCACAGGAGCTTTCAGTGAGAAATTGGAGATTTCCAGGGAGCCCCTATCACCTAGCCAGAAAATTAAACCAGGGGTAAATATTAACAGTGAAAATCACTCATGGCATCTTGGTTACATTACAGCAGTGTGATTCCCATAAAATAAACATTTCCTACATAAATCCAACATTTAATCAGGAGAATAAGCCGATTCAGCATTTGACAAAGGTCAGGTGTGACATCTTCCTCAGTGTGCATATATCTGCACTTTATAGTCCCGTCTTTGCCGCAGTATTGTTTTTGCCTTTCTATGTAGTCAGAGTGAAGTATTACCCAGAGTCAGAAACAAGGCAATTTCATTTTGTTTCTAGTTTAATTACACTTTAGTTCTGCTTAGAATTGGGCATTTCCACAAAGCCCATGTCAAAGACATACGGCTTATGTCCCAGACAACCTGATAAGTTAACCCTCTTGGTGGTTTTCATAGACAGTGGTGGGTACAGTACCACAAAAACGCCAGTTGGCCTTCCTGAGTTCGCAGCACTGCACACTCATGACTCCAATGGGCCTTGTCACTGTGGATGAAGTACGGACATCATGCAGGATGACAGTGACACAGAGAAAACTGGTGAGGGTGGAGCAAGCCCATAAACATTTAATGACAGAACCACATAATAGTGTGACCTGGGTGACTTTTACAGTCCTGAGGAGAGCTGTGGGCAGGTGCCTCTTCTTTCCTATGGAGACAGAAATTATTGGAAACTACGGACCAGTGTACTCTCCAAGGGAGAACATAGGACTCTGCCTACAATCTGTAATATGAATTTGGGGGATTTACTTCCTAAAAGTACTCCATTTTTTGAGAAATTTTTAAAAAATGACCTGCAACTTTTTGATCAATCCAAATACTATTAAAATTTTCTCAGATAATTTAATGCCCTACGGGTCCACCTGTGCTGTTTGTTGCTAGTGAAACATGTATGTTCTTTTCGTGTCTGGACAGCATTCCATTGTGTGTGTGCACCATGCTTTCTCTGCCCACGTGTGCATCAGTGGACACACGGATGGCGGTTGGGAATAACGGGGTGACGCCCGGGAGTACAGCTGTAGCTTCACACTCTGATTCCATGGATCCTGGACATGTGCTGGGCTGTGGGAGAGCAGGGCCACACGGTGATTCTAGTTTTAATTCCTGAGGGAACTTTGCGCTGTGCCCCATGCTGGCTACCAACTCACATCCCACTAACAGCACTGGGTTCCGGTTTCTCCGCTTCCTTGCTGACACTTACTGCTCTTCCTCATTTTGATAATAGCTGTTTTAACACGAGTGAAGTGATAGCCATTGTGATTTTAATTCACAGTGCCTCTAATGAACAGTGATGTTATCAATGTTCCCATGTGTCTGTTGGGCAGTTGTGTACCATCTTTCAAGAAATTGCATAGATTCCTTTGTTTATTTTTAAATTGGGTTGTTTCCTTGCTGTGGAATTGTTTGGGTCTCTTATATATTTTGGACACTAACCCTCATCAGATGTGTAACTTGTCAAGAGTTCTCCATCTAGATTCCATCCATGTTGTCAGCCTTAATTCTTCTTTTGTAATGCAATTTGACTTGGATACAAATGTATGAGCCCAAAATACACTCAGAATTAAACTACTAGTTTACTGTCTCCACGAAGGCAGCACGACCCACTCTGGCATCATTCCTAGTCTGGATACCGGGGTCACCGCCTGGTCTTGCCTAGGGTCCCAATCTGGATTCTTGATGCCTAAGCTGTGCCCAGCATCTGCAGCAAACTGTGCCATCCACCCTCCACTCACCTATCTATATTTATACCAGTGTGAATTTCACGTGTTAAAATTTCAATTGCACATCACTTATATGCTCAAAACCCCAATGATGTTTACATTTCCCTCTAATAGCAAAAATCATCTCAGTGGTCTACAGAGTCTTTCAGGACAGCTGCCTCCGTCTCTGACCCCAGTCTCAGTGTCACCCTTACTCACTGTGCTCTGATCAGGTGAGTGCCCCATCGCCCTTCCCCGGCAGCATCTGCCTGAAGCCTGTTACTCCCACAGATGTCTGTGCCTTTGTTTGTGCCTAGCAGGCTCTTCTCCCAATGCCTGGGTTTACTCTCAGCTCCTGGGCTTCTTCCCTGAGCATTCCCTGTGAGCCCTTTCCCCATCAGCTGACAGCAACCTGAGCTCCCTCATCTTCCAGAATGCCTTTCCCTATTTTTTGCTTCTTTTTTTTCCTTAAGAAACTTATTAACATCTAGCAAGTCTTCTACCTGTTTTTTTCTTTGCTTTATCTTTCTTCTGCTACTGTCATGTAAAATTCATGACAGCTGGTTTTATTTTCAGAACACATCAGTGAACAAAATAAATAAATAATTTTACAAGTCTTGTTTTGCTGCAGTCGTAGATGAATAAACTGTCAAATAGCTGGCACTACCAGAGCAGACTCCAGCATAATATAGGTACAAATTTTCCTAATATTCAGATGCCTTTGTGCTTTCACATTTTATGAGTCTATGAAGAAGCTGCATATGTTAGGTAATAAGAAGAAATTATAGGATTTCTTCTCCTGGTGCTGAGAGCACAGGAAGTGGTTGGGGCCCAGGAAGCTGCTCTGCCTGCCTGCAGCATAATGCAGTGGACAGAGGAGGCCGGCACCCGCCCAGGCACAGTGAGCAGCTCAGTGACACCTACCCCAGAGCACTGGCTCCACAGCCCCCGGCTGTCAGCAAAGAGCTAAGGACACACGGAGGAAGCCTACCTTCCAGGATCACTCTGATGACAGCACAGCATGGCTGTGGGTGTAGTTTTCTGAGTGAAGTAAGTTCCTATCACTGGGTTGCACTGTTGAAACTATTTTCCATTCAAAAGCTGTCCCCACATGCGCACATACACTGGAGGCCTCACAAGGTTAGCAGTTTCCCTGAGGTTTGCATCTGCTGTGCACTGAGAAGGATTCCAAGCAGCAGGAGTGCACAGTGAATGGGTGCTGAGGAGCAAAAGCAGCAGCAGAGGAAGAGAAAAGTGCGCCAGGAAGGGAACTAGACAAAGGAAGCAGGATGCATGGCAAATGTGTAGGACATGAACGTTGACCTGATTATCTGCATAGAGCCTTTACCTTTCTAATTCTCATAATCATTTGATGTGGCTAAATACCCGTATTAGGATATGCCCAGAAAACAGAAAGTGAGGCGTGTAAGCCGACTGGGTGCATGAACAGCATGAATTTGAGTGAAGGAATGCAAAGAAAATGAGAACTCACAGAAGCAAATAAGGATGGTAACATGGTGTCCTTAGGAAGGGGACCGAGCTCATGCTGATACAGCCAATGCCACTTTACTATGCGAATTTCATTTCTGCCTTGACCTTATAAAATATTTAGCTTCACAGCTCTTTGAAAATCATGAGTAAACAAAACATTTAATATCAGTGGAAGGAAGTAGATCTTGAATTTGAATGTCTGTAAATGAGGAAAATATATGCTAATTCAGTGCCAAGTCTAGCACACACACACACACACACACACACACAGAGAGAGAGAGAGAGAGAGAGAGAGAGAGAGAGAGAGAGAGAGAGAGAGAGAGAAGGAGCTTCAGAGCTGCCTGCCTCAGTGCTGGGTAGACACTGGGGTGTGCTGTCCAGTGCTGAAATGTATGGACAAATGCCCAAGGTAAAAACTGAACAAAGCAAAATCCAAAGGCAGGAAACGTTGTACCTCTCCCCTCCCAGGAATAAATCAGCAAGGGGTCGTACACACACGATAATTTGGAGCACAATAGAAAATAGCAGGACCAAAACATGATTAAAAATGCATTTGCCCAGCAGGAAGGAATGCCACTGTGGCTCAGAAAATAGAAAAGATGCATAGGGTCCACTAGTTCTGGGAACCAACAGTCCCAAGCCACCAGTGAGGTCCTGCATGCAGGGAGAGCAGTGCTACACGTGGACATCTGAGCCTGGACAGACAGCTGCTCTGATGAAACTGACCATGCAGCAGTGACTCTTTACTGCTCCACAAACAACAAGTTCGGGTAGGACCCGGAGCCTCCGGCAGCACACTTGGTTGTACCAAGCACCTGCAGGGAATGGTGGAGCCCTCAGATCCCTAACTGTGCACTGTATGGCAAAATAGAGAGGAAAAGGAGTCCTTTGGGTGGTCTACTAGTGGAAGAGGCAGTTCCATGGCTGGTCAGTCAGTGAACGCAGGCATTGTGTTTGTCACAGCTCAGGCTTTCTTGGCCATGCCTGCCCTCCACTCTGCAGCTAGGAGTGAGTTACACACTGGCAAAACTTAGCAGAGCTGCACCCATGGGAAGCAGAGCCATGTCCACAGGAAGTGGAGCCCAGCCCACAGGAAGCAGAGCCACACCACCACCGGAGCCCCACCTGGAGGAACACAGAGCAGCCGCACCAGGCTCTTGTCCTGGTGGCAGTCGCGGATTTACCTTTTACTTTGTGTTGGGTGCTGGGAAAGCAGTGGGCTAGGTCATCTTTAGAGCTTTCAGCAACCTACTGCTGGGCCTGGAGCAGGAAGGGCCTTGCTGGGCCTGGAGAAATGCAGAGGAGCAAGCTGAGCACAGAAGAATGGGGATTAGGCCAGATCCAGGAGGGTGAAGAGGCCATAGAAACACAGAATGAGCAAGAGCCCAGAGCTTGGTTGAGGACTTACAGATCTGCAAGATGTCGAGTTTTGAGCAGTTCCATTTTGCTGCCACAGAACAGCAAGAGCTGCGGTAGAAAAGGCACGCAGAGAGGGGCCTTCCCTGTCCTCTTCCACAGAGTGGTGTGGGCAGCTCGGCTACTGTCGCATGTCCTCACCTGGAAGCATCGCCAGTGAAGTCTCAGGTGAAGCAGAAGCTGGTCCCAGCAGGGATTTAATGTCTTTGTCTCTTGCAACTTGGCCGAGTCCCTGAGCCCCGCTCTCTTCTCTCTACCTGCTTTGCAGAGAAAGACGAACAACAGAGCCCAATGTATTCATTCTCTTTTGTCAATTAAATTCAGACAAAATTGGTTCAAGCTCTGAGAACTAAAAATAATAAAGGAAATACAGTCAAGTCTATCTTGAGGAACTGTCTTATAGTTGAATATATTAGAAGTTAAATGTGTTAAGTAACAATATTTTATTGTATTATAAGAAAGCATGCAAAGGAGATTGATGGTCAGTCCTAGAATTGGAAAATATCTTTTTAGCTTCTGAGCATAGCTTATAATTTGCATTTGATCTTATAATTCTAGGATGAAGTAATTATAGCTTGCTGCATGAAAGTAGGTCTCCAGAATAAGTTCCTTCACATCCCGACAAAGGCAGACAAGAGAAGACGTCAGCTGAAGGAACCCAGGAGAAGGCAGGTTGGCACAGAAGTGAAACTGCTTTACATCCGAGGTGGAGAATGAGTTCAGTTTGAAGATGAGGCCATTTTTCGGACAGGAGAAGGAGAAAATGAAGAATATTAAAAAGTTCATATAGGACACAATGATTTGGAAAAAAAGAAACTTGGTGTCTTGACCCTGCTAATCTATGTGGAAAAACCCTGTGAGCACATTGTACAGTATTTGTATCTGGAAAAATCAGAGCTGAGGGAAGAGAAGGGAAGCCTGCACTAGCTCACAGACTCAATGAGAGTGGGAAGCAAGCTTTTGAGACGCATCTGTGATAGAAGGTTTGTACAAATAACGGTTTTGGCAGGGGTTAGGAGACTGCCTGAGGGGCAGTGCTGAGATGGGCCACTTGGGCTGACAAGAATAGATGAAAGCAAGAATTTTCTAAAAAGCCTAAACCTAACTTCTACCCTGTTACTTGGGGCTTCAGTTTAGAAAATTCTGGAAAAAGAAATTTCACCTTGAAGCATGAAATCTAGAAAGGACTGAGAGCAATTCCTCCAGGTTACCCATGTACCTGTCACAGACTGGCTTCCTTGAAACTGTGTATCTGTGCATCCACGCGTCATCGTGTGCACAGTGCCACATGTAGGTAAATTCCACACTGCCTCTTCGTTTGCCGGTAAGCGATTTTCATTTGCTTTTATTTGTTAATTAAAGATTATAAGTGGCTAAAGTCAATTGAGACTATTTGCATATAAATTTATTTTTAATTCACTTCAGTTTCTTAAAGATTGCAGGTACCTAAGGCCATCTTGCAAATCTACATATAAATTTATTTTTAATACATTATTGTTCCTTAAACACAGACTTTAGCAGTTTATAAAATAAATAATAATTAATTGTTCATATTTATTGGGATCAAGAAAGTAAAATGTATAGTTTGCAAAAAATTAACACCTGTTTCCATGTTCGTTATCCATTCTTAAACAAAAGCAAATTAACAAGTCTGCCTCCCACTAATCACAAGAATTTGTGATTATCTTAGGCTGAGGCTTCAGCAGGTGACCAGTTTCATGACTTATCCTAGACAGCAGTGTGGCCACACAAAAGTGAGCCCATGTCAGGCTAAGTCTGGCCATCCTCTGATGTTGTACCCTGTTCTGTGTATCAGCTTTTCCTTCCTGCCTTATTGTTAATGTCTTCCTATATCATGCTTCCTCTGTAGTCCCAACTGCAGGCAGGATCTGCACCACTCTGGCTCTGAGAGGTCCACCTCCCTCTTCTCCACCTCACAGCCACTACTCCAGAGTTTTGCATTCATGTGTGAGTATGTCTTTACCACCTGGACATCAGTGGACTATAAGTAGGAAATAAACATTTCCCTAGAAACAACAGAGTTTATGTAATCAAATGTGCATTGTCGGGCTGGTGATTTAGCTCAGTGGCATAAGCGCCTGCCTTGCAAGCAGGCAGTCGTGAGTTCGATCCCTGGTACCGATAAAAAGGAAAAAGACAAAAAAAAAAAAAAAAAAAAAAAAAAAAACAAAACAAAACAAATGTGCATTGTCTTCCTAAGTCCTCGTCTGCAGTGCATTTTAATGACTGGTATTTCTTTATAGCACAGCATACCAGAAATTACCTAGCAAGGAACCCTGCAAGCATCATAATGCGCACACATATTTCCCTGTGACCATACCTGGAATCAGTTTCTCTCTCAGAATACCTGTTTATCCCAGCTGCTGGTTTCTGCAACCATACATAGTTGTAGCCTGAAAAAGAATTGGTATTACCTTTCCTGTCAGCCAGTGATCAGGTCAATATAAAGCTCTGCTGACAGGCTGGCCTTCCCAGGGAGGCCCACTGTGGTTTGTCAGCACCAGGAAAGGCAGGACCCCTGGGGCTCTGCCCGCCCAGGGCCACGGATAGTGTGTGCTGGGCAGCAGCCAGACCACCTCCATGTGATGAGCACGATATCCTTCCCCACATTTGGAAACGAGAAATGGGCAGAGTGGATACTACTCATGGCATGGAGACTGGAACTGGAATTCGCAATTAATGCACACTGATCTTGGGCAATAATTTTGGGGATTTAGTTTTCAAATTTGGTTATCGGAAATCAGTGAATGCCTGAATTTTACAAATACACTCTAGAATGATGTCACTAAGTCTGTAAGGGTGAGGCAAGTGGGAAATCTGTAGCATCAGTGTGTGCGAAACACTTTAGACAAGAGTTTCTTCTGTTTTCCAAGGAGTTCTGGGGGCTCAGGAGAGCTCACCGGCCGGTACAGTGAGGACTGCGCCTGCCTTCCAGCAGGAGAGAGCGGCGACATAAAATGGTTTATAATGAAGTTTTAAGAAATAAGAACAGCACAACAGCTGGCATTTATACCCAAAAGGACCAGGCAGGAAATGGAGGTTTAGACAGCGAAAAACATATTACTTGGGTTTTGTGGAAAATACAGAAAGCCGCGGCCCAGGGAGCTGTCACGCCCTCTCACGCCTGGCCCCGCGGTCTCTGCAAGCCCAGGGACTGGGGCACTGCGCTTCAGGACGACCACAAACTCCTTCCTAGCAAAGTGCGAGGCTATGAGGGAAATGACTCCAGCCCACGGAAGATCCACAAGTGAAGAACTTACGAAAGAATCCCACGAATGCTGGCAACGGTACAAGACTGTTATAACAGCGCTCGCTGTCTCCATTTTAACTCCAGATCTCATAACCGAATGCTTGCATGACTAATTTTATAGTTATTTTTATCGTTATGTAAAGTTTATCTCTCAAACATCCACAGCTTCCTCCACCCCCTTTTCAAATTTGTTTCATTATTTTTAGTTAAACAAGGATACAATATTTAGTTTGACATGAAATATAATGTTTTGCCGATTTAGATTGTTTATCTTCTCTGTAGCATTTCCTTCTCTTTTTTTAACTTTCAGTGACTACCTTAAGCCTCCGAAGGGCACAGAATCTGAGCGCCTGTTTTTGTTTTTTTTGTTTTTTTTTTTTTTTTTTTTCTCTGAGCCCCTTCTCCTGCATGGGACCTCGCGGTCCTAGTCACATGTGAAAGATGTCGCTAGCAGCCCCTCAAATGCTTGGACCACACTGTGTGACTTCCTTTCTTGTGGCGTGTTTTTACACTGCTAAGCACGTGCCTCCTAAGACAGGATGCACTGCTGCATCCATGCAGCTCAGTGCTCCCGGGGGAGGACGGTGAGGGTGACAAGATACAAGAGTCGGGGTACAGAGAACTGAGGCCTTGGGGCCCTCGCTCCTGATGGGAAGTACAGAGGAGGAGGAGTGAGAGGGGGGCGAGCGAGCCCCAAGGCCTGCAGCACATTTGTTTACACACTTACTTATCCACACGCCTCAGAGCTTAGCCGCGCGGCAGGCCCAGGTGCCCAGGGTCATTGACATTAGAGCAGCTTCTCCGTGCGACTGCCGCAGGTGTTCTCTGTTCTTGAGTCCGGCCGTGCTGCAGCCCCACATGTGATCCATCTTCAGCTTCAGCTGCTCCCCACAGTGCATGAAATAAGGTTCTCTGACTCGTGTGCAAAAATATAGTTCACCGAAAGACAGAGGCACACTCAGCATTTTGCTGTACTAATAGATGGGTGGAAGCTCGGGGGCACCTCTTTGAGCGCCTCCTGGAATTACAGAAGCCAAAGGCAGCTTGTGTGACTCTCATGTCATCTCAGAAAATTTAGTATTAAACTATTTATGCAAGCTTTTCTTTTCCTGACGCATACATTTTTCAGTGGACTACCTTTATTCTGGCACAGACTGAATCAAAGGTTCTGTGTATTGAACACCTTCAACAAGATGTGATTGTCGATTAACAGCGGATGCTGAAGAAAACAAGATGATTCGGTTCTCACAGCGGGGCAGGGGATTGTTTCCTCCAGCCTCGCTCCTTGTCACCCTGCCCTTCTCAAAGAAACCGTTAAGCCTCTGTGCTTCTGTTTTACGGAATTTTGCAGTTATCTCTTATGGCATGATGATTGGTGTTTTTATTTATTTGCATGGTTTTGGAATAACCTTTCCATTATGAAGACATTTCCTCCATTTGGCTGGGAAATCTCTCTCACCCAATCTCACACACCTTAGGCTGACTTTCTTCTGTTTTTTATTGGTTATCCATTTCTACTTTCTTGGAATACTGCCCATGCTATCTTTTCAGCAATTTGTCTTGGTAATCACGTTTTCCTTTATTTTCACATTCCAGTATCTCCCTGTTTTTTTCTTTTGTGGACAAAAGTTATAGTCAAATTCCTCAAAATTTAAGATTCTTGTTGATACAGCTCTTTATGTGTTATATTTAGACCTTTCTCAATGTATGGTGACCATGGCTAAGAATGCTGTGTGTTTTTATATAGCTTATTCTATGGGGAAAATGGTATTTCTGGACAATACTACAAAAATACTAAACCACTTTATTATTCAATAACCTGCTAATTTGAACATACCTTAAAATTTTGTGAAAGTGTAGACAAAGAGAACATAAATCCTCTACTAAGTAAGGAAATCTGATTATTTAACCAAAATACAACAAAAAGACATGATGAACTATCTTATCTTAAAAGACAAATTTTAGCAATTTTTAAGACTTTTATTT